CCCCTCTCTGTGCTGTTGAGTGTTACTCTCTCCATAGTGTTTCAGTATGAAACCAAGTGACATCTGTGATTTGGGTCAAACTGTATCTTCTTTGTCGATTGGTCGACCAAATCTAGTCGCTTGGTTTTGTTCTTGTTTCAGTTTGTTCTCGCTCATTCTGTCCTTCAGGTATTTTATATTAAAGAGAGTGAGTTTGGCACTCAAATGAAAGTCAATGAGTCATTCAGTCGGTCACCAAAAGACATGAATCGCTCAGAATTAATCATTTAAATATCAAGAAAATCGTTTGTGGCTGGCTCCTGGAATGTGAGGATTTGCTGGCTTCTCTCTTGTATATATATATTACTATATTATTAGGATATATATATATATATAATTGTAAATTGATTATTCTTGGGTTGTGGGCTGTTTCTGCAATACATGCACTCTGAGAAGTTATGGTGGACACATTTACAATTTTTGTACATTTTCTTCATTTAGAAAATAATATAGCCTGAACAATACTGCTCTCAGTGCTCTGTACTTGTTATTAATTGACCGACATAAAACAATACCGATATGTCAAATAATATCAATATATTTATATATTTGTATTGGTCTAGGTCTATTATTGATAATGGAAATGATTAGTTAGTGAGTTGAACAGGAAACATGGAGAGAATACAAAACAAAGGTCCTAGACAATGTAATGATGTCAGTGTCTGGGCCACAGGGACAGTACTGTACTGGTCTTTAATTATTATATTACAATAAATCATTTTGCATTAATCTGTGACAAAACCATAATTCTGATGCAACAGTTTGATCCACAGTAATTCTTTAATTAAATCGGCCGTCCAAGGAATCATATGACTGTCTCTTTAGGTATGTCAAGTCCTAAGAAGACCTTTTCAAACATTCATATAATAAGTGGTTTGCATTAAACCGGGCACATAAAACATGACTGAGCTTACATATTGACTCGGTAAATATTTGCCTGGTTCTTAAGGTTGCTCACTTGTCATAACTACTTAATTTTCTCAATGAATCGGACTGTTGTAGCTGAGTGAAATGGACAATGGGTGCTCTGTTGGATGGTCATTTTGACCACAATAACAAATGTCGTAATGTCAGTATATTGTTTGTGTTCCTCAAAACCACATTTTTATTTTATTTTGTTTTTGTGTGTGTGTATTTTTTTGTCCTCTGGTAGAACCAAATGTCACTCCCTTAATGTCATCAATATCAAGTGTTGCTTTTTATTTTTTTTTTCCAAGTATGGGTTATTCTTCAATTTCAGATTTTTATAAGAGGTGCGTCACTTGGTTTCTCCAAGTGGGAATTAAAATAACATGATAATTATTAACATCCAGTACGTTTGGCTTCATTACCCTTGTTGCTCACTGCTGTTGGGGGTTTCACCGTCCGGCTGCAGGCGGCTCAATAATTGCAAATAACAGGCCTCTGTTTCAGGTCAGGGGACGCTGCTGATGCTTGAGAGACAGATGATTCCTCTTGCTGCATCATTAACATTGGCTGGGTACTCTGGGGACCCCACCTCCCCCTCCTTCTCTTTTTATGCATGCACCATCTGCTCACGTGACACTGTGTTGCTGTACCCAGCACTGCTGTCAGCCATCTTGGTCAACACCCACCCTGTGCATTCACTGCGGTGCACAGGCAGCCCAATCAGAGCGTACCGGTGCTAAGCTGACCGGAGGAGGGCTGTGATTTTCAGCACGGCGCTCTCTTGCATTTTAAATCCCCAGTCTGCACAAAAGGGATAACGAGAGGTTCCAGAGGAGGAGGAGGTGGAGGAGGAGAGGGCAGGGCAGCCTTTCTCCAGACAGCAGCGTATTTCACTCAGTTGTAACAAGGAAGAGAGGAGGCACAGAGAGGAGGAGGAGAAGCAGCACCCTTCCTAACACCTGCTGAAAGCTGCTGTGGGCCTTCCCCGTCTCAGCCTTTTACCTTCTTTGTTTTGATGCTCTTTTCATCCTCTCTGATTTCCTCGTCTCTCTGACCCGTTGCTTTTTTGGGGCCTTTTACTGGCTGCTGGAACAAAAGCTACTGCGCCTTTTTCCCTCGGTGGTGTTGGCTTTGCCTCGCATCAGCTGAGTCATCATGTCTGATCTGACGCCTCAGAGCGAAACCCCGACCCCCACCACTGACAAGATCACCCAGGCTGCCCGGGAGACCATTTATCTCTGCAACTTTCGCGTGTCTGTCGATGGCGAGTGGCTTTGCCTTCGCGAGCTCAACGACATCTCCCTTACCCCAGACCCAGAGCCGGCCCATGAAGGTAATGTGACAGATTAGCTCAGAGGAGGTTTGTGGGCACAGTGTGATCTCTGTTAGGGCGTGGTGATACCCAAGGTCTCCAGATGCTACGCGTTTTATCTAGTGGACTGTGGTAATGTGTCCCGTTTGAGCTGTGTCATAATCGATTTCGGGGGGGGGGGGTGAGACGGTTGGATGTCTGAGAGTTGCACAGTGGGAATGACGCCGCTTGTAAATAAGCTAGGGCTAGGCAACAAAACAACCAGGAAGTGCCGGTTGTTTTGTTGTGAGAATGTATTAGCTTGCAGTAAATCAAATTGACAGGAAGTGTGCAATAGATAATTCTGGTGTCTGTTTTCCTTGATCTGATCAAATGGAACAATCACACAGCAGAAATAGGTGCATGTTTTTGATTTGTACATCTTTAACTCTGAGATAAAAACAAAACAGGATGCAACAGAGTCCAGATGTTTAAATGTGGCAGTGCACAGGTGATGCTGCAGACTGTACTGGAGTTTTGTGGTAAATTTGATGGAAAACAAAATATCTGCTGTCCAGCAAGACTCTCCTCTTCCTCATCTCCTGCCACACCGTCTCTCTGTAGAGAACAGGCAAATTGGCAGGTCCACGTTTTTTCCTGAGAAAGAAAGGCAGTTCAGAGCATTGCAGTACTTCGACCTCCAGCTCTTCCTCCAGAAGCAATTGTTGTCTGTAATGACATTACACAGGAACATTAACCGACAATGACAGAACATTTTATTTTGTCATGCTACTGAAAAAAAAAAATGTTTACATTTAACTTGAGTTGTAGGGCTGGATGCAAATTTTTATTGTAACATTTATTCTGGAATTCACTTTTCACACATGTTGGTTCCTGCACTTTTGTTTTTGTGTAGCAGGAGAACTTCTGAAAGGGGAACACTCAAGTTTTTTTGTTTTTTTTATGAAGCTTCCTAGTTTTGGTATTACAGTTACTATGTGAAAAAAAATGCATCTGACTATAATAATAACAATATGAAATTGTGTTTAATGTAAATTTGCATTTTAAATAGCACATTGTTATTCACTGCAGAAACTGTGTTTACAATTGCATGTCAACTTGTCTCTTTTGATTTGGTCTGAATCAAATGAAAAGCTATCATGTTGTTGCAGTCTGTCTAAAAAAAAGAGTTCATTAAAGAGAACAGAAAATAGAATATCCTTCATTAACCAGCTGGCCACTTTTATCTCAGTATTTAATTGCTTTTGGTATGTAAATTGCTTAGTCTTAATTATTTGCAATGGAGAAAAAAAACAGCAACAACAGACCACACTTGTGTTGTCTTTTTGTCAACACAATTACCTATAACTAAAGTCAATGGAAATACAAACTACTGACCAAATGTATTGAATATATTAATAATGTAAACAAATAACCCTGTGGAACTCCTCCACTTAAAGGCTCTATGTCTGCATCTACTTACATCAATAATGGATTAGGCACAGACGCACAGATGGATCATATTAAGAATTAAGTGCTAATTTTATTATTTTAAAAAAAAAAGTTGAACCCTTTTCTCTTTCAAAGCTAACCATTGTTTTAGGTTTATGGTAAATATATATAATAGGTTTTGCTGTGTTAGGTCTTAAAGTCAGTTTTAGGTTTCATATTTAAAAGTAAAATAATTTCTATAATGAAACAAAACTTTTCTTCCTTTGCAACTTTTCAACAAAAGCTTGTTGGTTTTGTTACCTTGTCTTGTATTTGCATACCAAAACTACATTACTTTTACTTCCTTAAAAATTGGGTCTTGTGGCATTGCAGGAAATACAGAACCAACTAAAATGTTTTTCCCCCTTTGACTCTCGATAAATTTAGCTCCTGAGTCATTCCTGGTGTTAAATCTTTGTCTGTATCATTACTATGAGAATATATAAGGATATTTTCATGTCGTTGTTTCTTTCTTTTTCACTTTTAGATCCCAAGGATCCCATTGCAATCGAAAGGCTTAACTTGATGAACATGGCCAAACTGAGCATCAAGGGCCTGATCGAGTCTGCTCTCAATCTCGGGCGCACACTTGACTCTGACTATGCACCTCTCCAGCAGTTCTTTGTTGTGATGGAGCACTGTCTGAAACATGGTTTGAAAAGTATGTATAGCACACTTCACACTGTCATCTGTTAAAAACTGCATAATTGTTAGTCTATAAGGTTTGAGAACAGACATTTTACCCATTCAGACATATCAAAGAGATGAACAAGGAATAAAACTGACAGATTTGCTGACTTAATGTTTTGTATTTACTGAAGTCAGGGTACTCATTTTTAGTTATTTATCTATTCCTGGTTAGTATGTGGTGATCATTCTTATATGATGACTCGGTGACCCAAATTTCTCAAAATGAACTTGCATTGTCTCTCAATCATCAGCCAAGAAGACCTTCCTGGGGCAGAACAAGTCATTCTGGGGGGCGTTGGAGCTCGTCGAGAAGTTGACGCCTGAGGCAGGAGAGATCACCGCCAGTGTAAAAGACCTCCCTGGCCTCAAGTGAGTCTGCTATATCGATCCAAATAACACTGACGCATTTCTCTGTCATAACTTTTTGTCATTTTGCTGACATTATCGATATGTGTGCACAAAACCATGCCATGAAACATTGAATAGCATGGGAATTACTCCTTTTGGCTAAAGTTAGCCCTGGTTGCCATTTGGTTGCTCCTTTGCAAGTTGCCATTGTTTAGCAAAGATTGTGAGGAGTTGTTTGTAATATATTGTGTTAAGTTTCAAGTGTATTTATTTGCAATTCTCCTGCATTTGACCACAGAACTCCTCTAGGAAGAGGGCGTGCCTGGTTACGACTGGCCTTGATGCAGAAGAAACTGTCAGACTACATGAAGACCATCATCAACAGAAAGGACCTGCTCAGGTGTGTTTGTATCATACTGTGTTGAGACCCACTGGTATCAAGAATAAAACATTTGCTAAACCTATATCTCGAATATATGTCTTTTTTGTCCTCTAGAAGTTCAGTTCAAGCATGTGCTGCACATTTAGAAATGCTTAAACAAAAGCAGTTTTTTGGTCGGTTACAGTATTTCTAACTCTTGTCTCTTCTCTGCAGTGAATTCTACGAGCCAAACGCGTTGATGATGGAGGAAGAGGGAGCAGTCATCGCCGGGCTGCTCGTTGGACTAAATGTCATTGATGCCAATCTGTGTATGAAGGGAGAGGACCTGGACTCTCAGGTAGTTCGGCCTTTACCCTCACTTCTGCCACCACTCAGAGCTGCAGTAACGCAAGAAAGACCAAAATCTAATGGACCTAACTTTTGACTAGTGGGTGCAGAAAAGGACAGAAGGGGGGAAAAAATCATAATTTTCACACAATATTTAAATTGAGAATTGACAGTCAGCTGCTTCAAACACCTAGAGGTAAAAAAACATATCAGACCTGTGTACCATTAGTCCATTAATGCTCCACATTGCAGTTTTAAAACAAGCAGTTCTTTTTACCTTCATCATTGTTCCTGTATTAATTCCATTCAGCCTTTGTAAACTACTCAGGAATCTCTGCTTCAGGCTCCATTGATAGTCCATTTTGGGGAAGTGTCCAGAATGACTGGGAGGATTGGCAGGTTGCCGGTTTGTCATCAGATTAGTGAAGTATTATTCTATAATGAAGTTAAACCTCTCCAGTTACAAACCTCTTGGCGGTTGGAGGTTGGCTGAGGACATAAATACATCAAAGCCAGGACAAAACTCCCTTGTGTTAAAAAGTGCACACATTAGTAAGGATCTTCCAGAAGCATGTCATTTTTGCATTTTGCTTTCTTTTCTTTCTTTTTTAGTTGTCATAAGATCTGCAATGTGGTTTCAATTGTCATTGATTTTCTGTTTCTTCTTAAATTACCTCTGCAGGTCGGGGTGATTGATTTTTCAATGTACCTCAAAGATGGTGGACACAGTAGTAAGAGTGCAGAGGGGTGAGTGCTGCTTTTTAATCTTTAACCACAGTGATTCTTGTTTCTGTCCATTTTAGTCTCTTAAACTGCTTAACATCAAAACTCAACAACCTGGGCTTTTTTTTATTTGTAAGACATTATGTTAGCTTTTAGCTATGATCTTTGTAGCTGAGATCTGAGTGACTCTCATAGACTGGCCATCAATTTAAATGTTTATCATTGTTTTCGATGATTTGGCCCCTCATTGTTTGAATGTTAAGTAGCAGACATGGCAAAAATTAGTTTGTTGTTTGTTCACTTTGCTTAATTATTATGATGGAGAGATGAATGAAGAAATATAAATCTTAGTCAAATAACAGTTATTAAATTAGGGCAATTAGCAATTATTGCTTAAGCTGCCAATTATTTTCCTGATTAATCATATGGTCTACAAAATATCAAAAAACTGTAAATTGTCTGATTAACACTCCCAAATCATTCAGACATTTAGACAGACAAAGACTCACATGTAAGAAGCTGTAACTGTCAAATGCTTGACTTTTTTGCTTGAAAAATGAATTAAAACAGTTCATTGATGATCAAAAAAAGTTGCCACCTCATCTTCTGTCGACCAAATGATTGTTTCAGCTCTACTGGTACCAGACAAGCTGTTAGTAGTGATTTAAAAAATGTTAAATGTTAAATACCAACAATCGAACAGTTGTGTCACTGCTATGCCACTGACTGTGGGAAATACTAACTGGGTCAGTAAGACGGTTTGGGAACATATTTGTATTCTGATGTTTTATACATGAAAGTGAGCTGCAGTGAAAATATTAGACGTTCTTCAGTGGGCTGCAGTCAATGATAAACAGTGAATTATTTGAGTTATTATGTAAATTCAAAGCAAGGTAAACTAAGCTTACTGTGTTTTCTGTCTTTTCTTCCATCCTCTCTTTCTGCTCCTTCAGCGATGGTCAGATCACAGCGATTCTCGATCAGAAGAATTACGTGGAGGAGCTGAACAGACATTTGAAGTTCGTCAGAGTCACCGTCTCTCTCTTCGTTCTCTTCACCTGGTTCAGCAGCTTGCTGAGCTCGTGACTAATGTGATATTTCTGTCTGTTTATAGTGCATCAGTGAATAACCTCCAGGCCAAGGTGGACGCTCTGGAAAAGTCCAACACAAAGTTAACAGAAGAGGTGAGAATCATTCAGCGCTGAACTTTCAAGACAATATTTCATCTCTGCACTAATACTTTTCCTGAAAGGTTTTATATTCGCAGTTAACTTGTGACTGGATCTTGCACTAGAGCAACAGCATCTCGGACCAAACAATGGGACAGAAATAAAATAAAACTCACCAAAAACGTCTTTGTTTGTCTTTTGACAGTTCTTCCAACAGTCACCAAGTGGTTTAGTCGAAATAATTAGTCTAAGAGTTAGATGTGAAAATATTTTTGAAACGTGCTGCAATGTTAATTTTAATTGTGGACAAATGCACCAAAGTCAAAGTTAAAAGTGCTTGTTTTTGCCACTGACTGGCTCAGGTTGTTAATACAAGTGTCTGATCCCTACAAAGATAGACCTTTTGAGCTGTTGTATCAGTATGAGTATCGGAGTCGAACCCGCAGCCCCTGCAGCAAGGACTCAGCCTTGGTACATGGGGCGCCAGCTCTACCAGGTGAGCTATCTTTGTTTACCAAAATGTTTGCTGACTTTTGTCTCCGCAGCTCGCAGTGGCAAATAACAGGATCATCACTTTACAAGAAGACGTGGAGAGAGTAAAGGAGGAGAGCTCATATCAGCTGGAGTCCAGAAAGGTGAACACATCTTCAATTCAATTGTTTTTCCTCCTTAAAACTGAGTATGATAATCCTCCCCACATTGTAAAACTGTAACTTTCGATGTTCTGACACAGCTCGTGGCCAAATACGTTTAAAATCAGCTCATGTTGATCATACTGTGATAGATATTGATATGGGACAGATGTTCATGTCGTGATATTAATATTAGACAATCCAGGGTTAGCTTTAAAGTTAAATACTTACATTTACAATATACATTTACATCCATTATAGCCTACATTTGGAATGTAAATAAATATATTTATATCTTTGTTTTTACTCCTGGCCTTTTTCCAGGCCTTAAGAAGTGACTCAGCACCAGATGGACAAGCCCTGGGTGAAACACGCAAGCAGCTCAAAGAGGAAACATTGCTTCGATTGGTGCGTTTCAGGCTCTTAACAATACTTTTCCACTCTTCTGTTTAGATTTTCGTCGTGGATTTCTGAGTATTTCTAGATGTTATTTGTGTGTGCCTGTCCCTATATTTAATGTCAGCCGTCTTGTGGTTGGGAAGCGTGTGTTTGAGCTTAGAGCTGATGTCTGTGCAGGATGTGGAGAAGGAGCTGGAGGTGCAGATCGGGATGAAGCAGGAGATGGAGCTATCCATGAAGATGCTGGAGAAAGACATCTGTGAGAAGCAGGACGCTCTGGTGGAGCTCAGACAGCAGCTGGAAGACCTTCGTGCCATCAACCAACAGCTTACCCACAAGTCACAGGTAAGGCTGCATTTTAAGGGTTCTACCACTTAAAATATTACTTTTTTGTGAAACATTGTGACTTAATCTCAAAATTGTCCGACTTTATTCTCAAAATCAGGATTTTATTTTACAGTAGTTGCCTTAATACACCTTGTAGTATTCAGTAATTGAGTTAATCTAAGCCAGGAATGTGTTTAAATACCCAAAATCTTCAAGTTTCAAGTTGATGTGACACTGCTGCATTGTAGGTTACATGGCAAAACAAAACACTCACTCAGTTAGCTAATAAAAAAAGTGTTCCCATTTCAAATATATCATTAAATGGCATCCTCAACATAACATAGAAACACAAGACTCACCTGGTTAATGTAACAATCACATGTGTTTATGTTATGGAGTGGAAAAGCACATTGGTAGTTAGCTATTTGCACAGATTGTCAACTTTTATCAAAGAAGCAGATATTTTCTAACACAGTTTTTAATATTTTTCACTGATGATTTAAAGGAGCAGTGTATTGGATTTAGTTGCATCTATTGGTTTGTCCATTCTGAGCTACTGTAGAAACATGGCGGTTCAACATGGTGGCCTCCAAATTAGAGGACCTGCTCCCTCTTAAGATTAAATTTTCTTTCTAATATAACGAAAACACAACGATTCTTCTTTTGTGTTTGTGTGGTGATTATACACTAATGAAAACATACTTAAGAATATTATATTCAATTTCTGCCAGTAGATCCACCTACATGTTACACACTGGACCTTTAACCAGAGTTAGAGATAGAGTTTTATGACGATCCAAGCTGTAGAAGTGCTCCGACTGTCAGTCATCTAGTCTGTGGGAAAAATGAAGACAAAAACGTAATCTTCCGAACATGTACAGAGATTGTTCGTTTCCAGTTGACCAACATGGCTCTTCCTCCTCAGAGCGCAGATGCCAGCTCTAAACAGAAGAGTGAAGGCATCGCTCGCCTGGAGGAGAAAATAAATCAGATGACAGGGACTGTGAAACAGATGGAGACCAGGTGAGGACAGTTCTGCACAGCCATGACTGATATTGTGAATCAACTCTTCACAGAATCACATACCAACAAAAAACTCTGTTTTTCTCTCTCCACTTTCACCATCATTATTTTTCATTATTTTCTTTAAATCATTTAATCAGTGAGAAACATTTGGTGAAGCAGGCCAGAAATCTGAACTCAGCAGCAGGGAAGCTGCTGCAGCTGCAGCAGTAGCTCCCTGCTTTCATAATTCTGAATACAAACATACGACCCTGCCTAATATAGAAATAATCAAACTAGGATGTTATCTTTTCTGTACGATGCTCCTTTGTTGTTGAAAATAAAACCATTTTCCCACAACCTCCTGCAGTGGCTCTCCAGCATCAGCTTTGAGTAGTGTGGACTGAATCGATCCTTTTAGCAGCCCTTAATCCTTGTGTTCTTTGACAGATGTGTTTGCCACATCAGATTTATACTTTTGTTTGGTCGGCATTTCTTACAAGTCCCCCATTAATGCTTTCTGACAAAAGTAAGAGGAGTAGACAGCAGGGTGTCTGAAAGTCCACTGTGGACAGTTTTAAGATTTGATGGTGTGCTGATCAATGTGCTAATGGACACATTCTAGGTATCTGGGAGGTAGTGGACTTGCTGTAATGGTATTCCAAAGAATTTCCACCACTACAAGAGACTGTGCTTGAATATTTTCAGCCAACAGAGACTGACTGAATAAACAAAGGAGAAAATAAGGACTGATGTTGTCATTTGGTGATCCACTTAAGTGTAGATGGCCATGACAGGAGCAAGATAAAGCAACAAGAAAAGGGCAAAATTAATTTATTAATTTTGAATTGTATGTGAACATAACATTGGTGTAAACTGTAGTAATCATTAGGCTAATAAAACAATAAACAAACATGGCCTGCTTCATCTTCTTTGGCTAAAGTTTCCCTGATTTCCTCGTTGGGTTTCAGTCCCCAGACACTTTGATCTTTTTGTCATTTTGGAGTTTTTTTATTTATTTAATTGACATCACTTTCCAACCGTGTTTCTTTTTTTTGTCAAGTTTTCATTTTACCATAAGTTTATGTGACACCCCCACCCCCCCCTCCCCAAACCAGATGCAAACAGGCTGAGAGAGAGAGGGATCTGGCTTTAGAGGCCAACCGGCTCTTCAAACAGGACTTTGGAGACAAAATCGACAGTCTGCAGGTGGAGGTGGAGCAGCTGAGGAAGCACAGGTAAAGTCAGAGGAACACTAAATATCAGTAAAAGCTTTTAAGAAATGTTGCCTGTGAATCTAAAGCTTGACATATGTCATTCCTCTGTGCCATAGAGCTTCATTGTTGTGTAAAAACTATTAAAAACAGATCGATGAGCCACACTGTTGAACTGGGTGATATGTTCCTTTATTACCATGAACACACACTGTAGTTTATTTTCTTTATGTATTTTGTGAGGGGCTTTTATTGCTTTTAGTTGACAGTGACAGCTGTAGAGTGACAGAAAAGGGGGGAGAGAGTGGGGATGACACGCAGCGAAGGGCCACAGGTCAAAGTCTGCAGCAAGGACTCAATCCTACATATTGTCCTTCAGCAGCAGTGGAATGTAACAAAGCAAATTTACTCAAGTACTGTAGTAGTTTCGAGGCACTTGTACGGGGAAATGACTGAGCCAAAGTGCCACAGGTAGGGAAGTCAGAAAGTATCGATACAAGGGCTAACGCCGTTGTTTTTTTCATGACATTTGTTAATAAGGAAAATATTAAATCAGAATTGGGTTTATTGCCAAGTAAGTTTACACATACAAGGAATTTTCCTTGGTGCATAAGAATCACAAACAATCAAGGAATTAAATATAAATAAAGATAGAAAGATCTAAAGCTGTACAAGAAAGATATTTACAATGTGCAAGATAGAAAAACCAACGGTAGTGCATTAATGTAATGCATA